ACCTATGTGCGAAGCACGTCGGTAGAACCAGTCTCGCGTAAGCGTACGCGTAATGTCAGTCTGGGCCACTTCATCCAACAATACCGCCGAATCAAGAAACAACTAGTGACGGCAAGCAATATGTATATACCCATGCCCACAACTTCTTTGTGTTCTACTCGTGCATATAACATCTACGCATAAACCTGGCTCGGATGCCACTGTTGGGGAATGCAGTAATTTCAAAAAAAATCCTACACACACGCAAGATCATGGTGATGCATAGCAACGAGAGGGAAGAGTGTCATCCACATACCCTCGTAGACCGTAAGCGGAAGCGTTATGAGAACGCGGTTGATGTAGTCGTACGTCTTCACGATCTGACCGATCCAAGTACCGAACGTACGACACCTCCGAGTTCAGCACACGTTCAGCTCGGTGACGTCCCACGAACTCCGATCTAGCAGAGCTTCAAGGGAGAGTTCTGTCAGCATGACGGCGTGATGACGGTGATGATGATGCTACCGACGCAGGGCTTCGCCTAAGAACCGCTACGATATGACCGAGGTGGATTATGGTGGAGGGGACACTGCACACGGCTAAAAGATCAACTGATCAACTTGTGTGTCCTAAGATGCCCCCCTCCCCACGTATATAAAGGAGGGAGGGAAGGCCGGCCGGCCTCTCTAGGCGCGCCAAGGGGGGGAGGAATCCTCCTCCTAGTAGGAGTAGGATTCCTCCTTTCCTAGTCCTACTAGGAGGGGAAAGGAAGGAGAAGGGGAGGAGAACGAAAGAGGGGGCGCAGCCCCTCCCCTAGTCCAATCAGAACTAGGCCCATGGGGGGCGCGTGGCCAGCCCCTGTGGTTTCTCCTATTTTTTCCTTAAAGCCCACTAAGGCCCATATGTACTCTCGTATTCCCGTAACTCCTCCAGTACTCCGAAAAATACCCGGATCACTCGGAACCTTTCTGATGTCCGAATATAGCCTTCCAATATATCGATCTTTACGGCTCGAACATTTCGAGACTCCTCGTCATGTCCCCGATCTCATCCGGGACTCCAAACTACCTTCGGTACATCAAAACACATAAACTCATAATACCGATTGTCACCGAATGTTAAGCGTGCGGACCCTACGGGTTCGAGAACTATGTAGACATGACCGAAACTCATCTCCAGTTAATAACCAATAGAGGAACCTGGATGCTCATATTGGCTCCCACATATTCTACGAAGATCTTTATCGGTCAAACCGCATAACAACATACGTTGTTCCCTTTGTCATCGGTATGTTACTTGCCCGAGATTCAATCGTTGGTATCTCTATACCTAGTTCAATCTCGTTACCGCAAGTCTCTTTACTCGTTCTGTAATGCATCATCCCGCAACTAACTCATTAGTCACATTGCTTGCAAGGCTTATAGTGATGTGCATTACCGAGAGGGCCCAGAGATACCTCTCCGACAATCGGAGTGACAAATCCTAATCTCGATCTATGCCAACTCAACAAGTACCATCGGAGACACCTGTAGAGCACCTTTATAATCACCCAGTTACGTTGTGACATTTGGTAGCACACAAAGTGTTCTTCCGGTGTTCGGGAGTTGCATAATCTCATAGTCAGAGGAACATGTATAAGTCATGAAGAAATCACTAGCAACAACTAAACGATCATCGTGCTAAGCTAACGGAATGGGTCAAGTCGGAGAATGATGTGATCCGTTAATCAAATGGCAACACATGTCTATGGTTAGGAAACATAACCATCATTGATTCAACGAGCTAGTCAAGTAAAGGCAAACTAGTGACACTCTGTTTGTCTATGTATTCACACATGTACTAAGTTTCCAATTAATACAATTCTAGCATGAATAATAAACATTTATCATGATATAAGGAAATATAAATAACAACTTTATTATTGCCTCTAGGGCATATTTCCTTCATGGTGCTATCATACATCCACGTTGATGGAGACTTCAACCCACGAAGGGTAACGGTTGCGCGATTGCACGGAGGGCTCCACCCACGAAGGGTCCATGAAGAAGCAACCTTGTCTATCCCACCATGGCCATCACCCACGAAGGACTTGCCTCACTAGGGTAGATCTTCACGAAGTAGGCGATCTCCTTGCCCGTACAAACTCCTTGGTTCAACTCCACAATATTGTCGGAGGCTCCCAAGTGACACTTAACCAATCTAGGATACGCCACTCTCCAAAAGGTAATAGACGGTATGTTGATGATGAACTCTTGCTCTTGTGCTTCGAATGATAGTCTCACAAACACTCAACTCTCTCTCACTGATTTGTATTTGGTGGAAAGTAGATTTGAGTGGAAAGCAACTTGGAGAAGGCTAGAGATCAAGATTCATATGGTTGGAATGGAATATCTTGGTCTCAACACATGAGTAGGTGGTTCTCTCTCAGAAAATGAATGTTGAAAGTGTAGGCATGTTCTGATGGCTCTCTCCACGAATGAAGAGTGGTGGAGGGGTATATATAGCCTCCACATAAAATCTAACCATTACACACAAATCACCAAACTCGGTGGGACCGAATAATGAAACTCGGTCAGACCGATTTAGTTTAAAATGTGAACGTTAGGATTTTCGGTGGGACCGACATGTCAACTCGGTGGGACCGATTTCATTATGGTTAGGTCATAACGTAATCTCGGTAAGACCTATTACACAAACTCGATGGGACCGATTTTGGTAATAAGCTATCCAGATAGTTGGTCAGGCAAACTTGGTGGGACCGATTCACTCATCTCGGTGAGACCGAAACGTTACGAAGGGGAAACAGAGAGTTTGCATTGCGAACTCGGTGAGACCGATCGATCATCTCGGTTGGACCGAAACGTTACGAAGGGAAACAAAGAGTTTGCAATCCCATCTCGGTGAGACCGAGATCCCTATCGGTAAGACCGAAGTGACTAGGGTTTGTGGCAATGGCTATGTCAAATGAACTCGGTGGCACCGGATAGAAAGTTTCGGTGGGGCCGAGTTTGACTTTTGGTTTGGGACATGTGTGGATATGAGAAAGTAGTTGAGGGTTTTTGGAGCATACCACTATGCATTTGAGCAAGCAACCCATTAAGCAACACCTCATCCCCTTTTAATAGTATTGGCTTTTCCTATGGACTCAATTTGATCTTGGATCACTAAAAGTAAAATGTAGAGTCTTGAGCTTTGGAGCTTGAGCCAATCTTTTGTCCTTAGCATTTTGAGGGGTCCACATTTCTAATCCATGCCATGCCAATCATTGAGCTTTTCTGAAATATTTATACTGAAAGAGCATTAACTCAATGAGCTATATGTTGTTAAGAATTACCAAAACCACCGAGGGATAGTTGCACTTTCAGATGCCTATTTGGGCACTTTGCCGTCTGCCAGCAGACGGCAAAGACCTTCGAATCTTTGTCGTCTGCTAGCAGACGGCAAAGTTCCCAAATAGGACTGGCAAACAGAGCCAGCTATGTCGTCCGCCAGCAGACGGCAAAGATTCAAAGCTCTTTGTCGTCCGCTGGCAGACGGCATAGCTGGCCACGTGGCAGCTTCCCAGTGCTGGCTGAGTTGAGCTCTTTATCGTCTGTCAGCTGTCGGCAAAGAGCTTTGCCTCTTTGTCGTCCGCTGGCAGATGGGAAAGCACGCCGTTAACCCCTAACGGCTCTAACCCCACCCCACTGTCGCCCATGATCTTTGCCGTCTGTTGGCCTCCATCGGCTGACAGCACGGCCCTTTGCCGTCCGCTTCTATGAAGCAGACGACAAAGAAGGCATTTGCCGGCACTCGTTCAGACGGACAGTTTGCCGTCCGCTGGCTGATGGTAAAGGACTTTGCCGTCCGGCATGCATGCCTTTGCCGCCTGCCATGGCAGACGGCAAAGAAGCTGATTCCAGTAGTGAATGATAATGTTTCTTGTGTTGCCCGGATACAAACATATTACATAATAAGCAATATCACTATATTGCTCATCTTGCAAGTCAAATCATACAACAAAGTTATACGTTTGTTCACAAAGTCTCTACCAACTTCGTTCCTGGAATAGGTATTCGACGGCTTTGAAATACGCAAGAATCATGTAATATCAACACAATGCCATATGTCATGTTTTATGTTTTTCCCCACAGTGTTTTTAAGAAAATATATACGACATATTTATTGTCCTCTAAACTCTTGAGTTTTCTCATATTAAGTAAAAGAGACAATAATCATTATATGTTGCATCATTTTTTTCTTATTTTTCCCATTGGGTTTGAAGGAGTTTTAGCAACATATTCTATACTACTTCTTATATTTTTTCCATAGGGTTTTTGAAGGAGACTTTCGAATTGATGATACTACATGGACAATATTTTTCCCATTGGGTTTGAAGGAGTTTTAGCAACATATTCTATACTACTTCTTATATTTTTTCCATAGGGTTTTTGAAGGAGACTTTCGAATTGATGATACTACATGGACAAGCGGAGATTAGGGGGACTGTTAGAATTAAACGCACATATATATTGTAACAAACCCAATCAATGAGAAGAACGGCTATTATCAATGAGTACTTCGATCATTCTCGTTGTCCCTGGTTTTAGATGAATCATTCTCGTTATCTCTCGTTTTTACTTTACGACAAACATTCCATTTCTGTTTTCCTGTTCATTTTCTATTAATGCAAACCAAAGAGGTCCGGCAGAGACATTGCAGGACGCTGTTTATTGGATTTTTTTCGAGAGTACATTATTGGATTTTATTTCAACCCGGGAGGAAATTGGTTGGCATTGAAGGAAACCGTGATGAATGATATAGGAATTTGAGTGCTGCAACATTTCTAGGCCACGCATAGCCTCACCAACATCACAAGAACGAGAACGGACAATTCTTTAGGTTGGTTATCTAAGCATCCATCACATGGCGTCCTGGCCACAATTCAAAACATCGGTGGAAAAATAAACATCAAAACTCTACCGCAAAAGTGCTCAAAAAGTTCAAAGTTCCACACGACACAGAAACAAGGCAGTGCATATCTAATCCTCCTCCTCGCCCTCGTTCTCGGCAATGTTGAAGTACCGGAGCTCATAGACACTGCGGTCCTTGTTGGATGAAATCACCCGGAGCCAGTCACGCACATTGTGCTTCTTCAGGTACTTCTTTGTCAAGTACTTCAAGTACCTGAGAAAATGAGAATGTATGAGATCCAACATAAGAGGAGAGCATGATACACAATGAACAAAAGCAGCTTCTGAACACAAGAGCCATTGTTCAAGCAGCGAAAGCAGTGAGTATCGACTAATTAAACTGGAAAACGGAAGCAACTCTCTTAGTTAAGCAGGACGTAGGGGAAACATATAGGGTCGACTGATATGATGCAGCACAAAAAGAATTTACAACTAAAATGGATGATAAAGATTTGAAGACTTGTATCCAGAATTCTGGACATCAACACCAGAGGGAGCTAAAATAAGGTTGATAATACCATAGGCAACATGCATTAGGTAAGCATCCGTGAGGAAAAGAAACTATACCAGCATAAAATTGCCATGGCTAATGAAACATGGACTAACAAAACAAAAAACAAGCACTACAACATGAACCCTAACTGAAAGAGCCACAACTTTAATAGTTCTATGTCATAATGTCAAAACAACAACTGACACGAGTTTCTACATAACAGCGTGCAACCAGCAAATCTACAAGCGATGGAGCCACTAATAAAATAGACATCTCATTTTCTCATAATGGACTGACATTGAAGGATATCATGGTAAAACAAACTTAGCATGCGTCGACATAATACTTCAAGCGCTCCACATTACCTAGCCATCACAAATGGAGAAAGAATTCCTAATCGCGACCCACTGGCTGACAACCTACTGTACATCGGACCGAGGATTCAACAGGTGCTACCCAGAAACCACACCTGACCACGACTGCGCTGTGTGTGGATCTGGGAACGGGCTAATCGGCGGCACGTCCGTACCTCTTGGAGAAGGCCCCGTCGGAGGTGACGGTGACCTTGCTCTTGTCGCGGGCGACGGTGACGGAGTCCCCAAGGTTGCCGGCCTTGCCGCCGGCGACCTTGATGCGCTCCTGCAGGAACTTCTCGAGCGACGCGATCTCCATGATCTTGTCGTCGACGGGCTTGGTGCAGTCGATCACGAAGGTGACCGACCCCTTCTTCTTCCCGGCGCCCGCGCCGCCCTTGGTAGCCGCCGGCACGCCGCGCGCCATCTCGGTCTCCGCCTTGCCTGCTCTCCGGAGTCTGCTTCGGTGGTGGGGGTGGCTGCGCCGAGTCGATAGGGTTTCTCGGACGCGGGCGGAGGTCTCTTATAAATACGGTTAGGGTTGGGAAGATCGGACGG